GGACTTTGCGGCCGCTGGCCACGGTCAAGGAAAAAATCGAGGAGGACGAGGAGGGCCGTCAAGGCTGTTGGGAGCATCGGACATCACAGCGAGCCATAAACGTTGCAGAAAAGCATAAGTCGCAGTGCTGACTCATCAAGAGATTCCCCGCCTTAACTTAGTTGTGATGAAATCAAGATCGTTTCTTAAGACTGACTATGAGTAAGAATACACAAGTGAAAATGCAAAAAGGACATCAAAATGAAATGGGAACTCTAAATTTGATCCAAGATGTATTAGACATGAGTACTGTCGCCGCCCACAGGGCACACATTACATTAGACGCCACATTATGATATCAAGGCACAACCAAACAGACATCGTGCTCAACGCTTAAGCAGGTACACTGGCAATGTCCAATGACTCCATCGCAAGGCCAAGAGGATCGGTGGCAGCATGTGCCGCTTGAGCGACGGCATTTTCAAGATTTGCTGATGAACCAAAGAGAACTTCTGGGCTGGTGCACGTCGCGACTGCGCGACGCATGTGCGTCGTTAAGAAGGACAGGCCCACCTGGTAGGCGGCTGTGATCATCGATTAGCTGGCAAACTTGGGGATAGAAGGAAACGCACAGTTCATCCAACCAAAGCCCTCACGAGGAACCATCTTAAAATCTAAACCTTGGTTGCCGTACTCAGCATCCACCAAGTGTGAAAGCTTCACTGCGTCAAACTGGCGAACATTCATATCAGTAGCATACAAGAGTCACCGCTAGTATCACATACCTTCTCAGGTACAACTCCATTAAAGTCAACAAACGCTGTGGTCATCCTACAGTAATCAAATCAACCTCGATATAAAGCATAGGAAGTAGGTCACGCACATGTAAAGGAACCTGTACGACAATCGCTGAGCATCTTCCAGGTAACCGTAGCGCTCTAGCCCGACCCAAGTCATGATTTGGTGAGGAGGCCATGCATAACTGAAAATGATTAAATTTGCTGTATACACAATAAAAAGAGACATCAACGCACGGGTAATCCCACTGTCGGTTAGGCCTGTCCAAGGAAATCTTACCCCTAGACTCTTCAGTCCCAGAAACGAGACCCCCGAGTACTTCAAACTTCTTTAACGACTGCGAACTACGCGAAGTTAGATATGTTTACGAAGGAAGACAACTGGACTTACACGAGTTTCCAGCACTGCTCCTCGCTCGCGCAACCAGCCCAGAGCGCCCAGAACGCAGTAACACTTTCATACAGGCTCTGCTTCTCTAGAACCGTATCGTAGTCAAAGTACAGCTTCTTGTTTTCATTCCAGAGGTACTTGTCAATCATCTCACTCCTGTGATCGGCTCTCTCAAACCACTCATCGCTATTCTGCGACCGACTAGTTGAGCGTTCGCGATAGGGGTTGCGGTATGCCTCAACAGATGGTGGGAAGGGTGCCAAGTCGAATTCTTCCTCGAGCTCGAGTTCATCATCGAACACCTCCCGGATGGCCGTGCCGATGTCGACTTCATACTTGTACAGCAGCGCCTGTAGATCGATCGTCCCAAGGTTTGCACATCGCTTCTCAAACCTGTACGTCGTATCATGACCCGACTCACGCACAGCTCTGTCATGCAAGAAGTACTCGTCCAGCGCAGGCTCCTTGAGAACTCCGTTGTTGTACTTCTCGCTAAACTCGAGTACCGAGATGCCATGCTTCTCAGCATAAGGCTCAAGGATATGCGTGAAGTGTGTCGCCTCAGTCTCAGGAGGAATTCCAAGACCGTCGGGGCGGTACCTGGACAATCCCGTCTTGGGGTCAATGCGGGGCTCCGCGACCCAGATGGTATGGTACTCTTTAATAGCGGCTTGGATTGCACGTTTCAGCCATTGTCGATTAGACTCCACGTCTGAGCGATCTAGCTGATTGTAGATTTGCAGCGCCATGTCCGTCAAGAACGGAGGCTGCGTCCTACACAAATAGTAGCTCCGGCTTCCGTTCAAAATCTTGCCATAATGCTTGATTTCAAATATGAAGTGGTCAACCATGCCTTTCGCCATGGTCACTTGACCATCCACAAGGAGGCCTAGAGAGATGAAGTAGGAATCCCAATTGTAGAGCTGACATTGAATGATGTTGGTTAGTGAGAACAATTGAGTGGATTGAACAAGGCACCTCATTAAAGCGAGCGCCAGGAACGATGAAGGGAATCCCTTTAAGGGTCCGACCACCCTTGCCGTCATCAACCTCATTCATAGCGAGTGCCAAAAGACCTGGTTTGGAGTTCAAACTTTTGACGAATATGGCATCATCAGGCTTTGGAGGTAGGACCTGTACATCAAGGTTCATGTGCGGTTTCTCGCGCGCCACTTTTCTGTAGTATTCAGCCATTGCAGGTTCGCCGTGAGGGACGTAGATCCGAGGTTGGACTCGGCCCGTACGGTTCTTAGGGTCGGCAGTGATGATCTCGAGGCCATCGCCATCAATGCGGCGAGTGAGCGAGTGCCAGAATGAGTTTTTGATCATGCGAGAGAGACGATCGACTGGATTCTCTGAGAGACGAGCCTCGTCGAGGACGATACGTTTGCGTCCATGATCTCGGGCTAGGGCAAGCTCCTGCAACAGGTTGGACAACATGTAGGTTCCCTGGATCGTAGTTATACTGAGGGTGGTACTATATCATGAACATGGATACTGACTCGGACATCAAAAGTCTTGAAGCCATTGCTCGTGGCCGTACCGAGGGCCATCATCTTCGGGCCCGCATCAGTGATACTAATTTGGAAATCACCATCTGTGTCCTCCTGCTCAAGGACAACACGAATGGTCTCTTCGACATCGATGAGGAAGCGACGGGGGCCGGTGACGCTCTTCTCGTCATGCGACATGCGCCGAGCCCTCATGTGCGTATCCTCCTCGAAGAGCGGAGTACGCTTCGGAATATACCCATGAATATGTGACTATAGACGTGGCATAAGAAATTGGCAAGATGCTAGCCAAACAGGGCATCTTACATGACTGTAGGTTCTCGAACGAGTGAATGCCTCGCCGCCGCCATAGTATGTAGCAGCATCTACGTGGACTGTTCCATGGCCATCATCGACGAAGGTGACACCGGCTGGGTGATTGAGAGTGGGAGCCATGGTGACGGTTAGAAAGAAAGGAGCGAACCGAGCAGAGAAGAAGTGAAGAACGGCGAACTTGCTGTACTAGTTGTGGGGTACCTAAGCCTCTTGAAGCGAAAGACAGAGTTGTGGCGGAGGGGGTTTAGCCGAATTTATGCTTGGATTGAATTACACCACGTTGCCGAAAATAATCGTGGAAATTATTGTCCTCCGAAGTTCAGACGTCGGACGACCACACAGAACAGTCCTTGCGAGAGGTCGATCACAGTCTACGACGAGCAATTGCAGTCACCAGGCTCTCTTCAACCTAGCTATAATGTTTATGGATGGTCAGTCAGCTTCTATCGCCTCAAACCTGACGATCCCAACAGCAGGGGACTATCAATATCCAGTGCGGGCCCCCTTTATACTTGACATGCGAGTCAGGGACTTCTCTCACCTTCATCCCGGCTGAGCGAGCGAGCCGGATCCTAGATAAGCCTTACAGATCTGTCTTCCTAAGTTCGGTCTCCCTTTCTCTTTCAGGCTTCTGGTATCGGTTACGGTCTAGATGGGCTATTTCGTGAGTCACACTATTCGCATAGTTTTTCACGCCAAAAGTGACCCTCAAAATAGAGGTTCACCACGAATAGACCGTTCCTAACTGATAATATCATATCTCAATGTCGTTTCCTAATTTTCCATAATTTGACATAGTCCATTCATCCACCTTAGTTCACGAACCGACACCGTCACTACGTTATCAGGGGCGACTTTCCAGTATTTAATTGCTCCTGCCTTCCGAGATTCGGATTGTTTACCGTCACACTAACACCCACGAATGAGGGAACCAGCTGTTGGCTAAGACTACCTTTCCCAGATTTTCAACATGGGCAAGCTCCGTGCCACCGATCTTCGGAGCATTCACAATATCAGACAATTGTGAGTAATCCATCTCCTCATGATAGGATACTTGAATTTGTGATCGAGAGCTTTGGTACACTGGTCTCAAGACTCACTAGTACTCAAGACTCAGGTAACGGAAGCGCGTATTTTGGTGTCAAGACCTTGCCTGCATGGTACCTCCGTGACTCTCGAAAATGTTCATCCCATGTAAGTTTATTATTCCCGCACATTCTCGCCAGAAACGGAAGGAACTATCGTGCATCGCAATATTAATAGGAAGGTGCCTGAACCTGCAGCGCCCATGTCATGTCGTAGCTTATGAGGTAAGACATTATACTATGTGTCCTAACATGGGCGTCAGCAGGGCACTTCTTGTGCGTCCCTGACCTTTTCACTTTGAAGATTTGTACCTTATCGGCACGCCTGGCGCAATTATGCTCAACTTGCCCTTGCAATTATCGAACAGCCAGCCTATCATAAGTCTCGCATGACTTGGAGGCGCGAAAATATTTTGCCGAATCCACAGTAAATGGTCTGGGTTTCCCTGCTTCGCGGAAGTAATAGGTATTGGCACACACCGAAGCTGTGTAAGATTTCGGGACGGGTCCATTTGCGGGCTCTACTGGTATGTCGTTGCTACGTTTCAGCTGACGATCTGACAGAACATTCGCAAGCGACCAGTCAAGATTTCGATATCTTGTCCCACCACACTTCGCTGTGTGAAGGGTGTGGCGTGTTAATAATGGTCTAGCGTTCGACGGTCCGGATAAGGCGCTGTCTGATCCTTCTGTGGACACGGCATTGCATTTCAGATACAGGTTGTTATCCGGTTTGCTTATGGGAGACCAACCAGCGCTTTGCATCTCATCAAGGTTGCTATGTAGATATAGAACATTGCACCGCACTGCACCCAAGCAGTACTGAGCTTGGAGTGCTGGATCATATTAGACCATCAAGACTGATGCGCAGCTGGGCCATATAATACATATCTGCAATAGACCCAGTCAGTCGTCCGCCCTCATGGTCCTGTTATTTGACCAAGCTGATGTCAGTATCGGCATCACACTGCAGCAAACCGACGTGAGTAATGATGAGAATCAGTAGCATGGCATTCAACAAACTGACTGTTTACGTGCGATATATAGTATGCTTTCAGTGCGTGCCACCAACGGTTGTATGCAGCAGCGTTCGTGCTGAACTTTCGTCTTAGTCGCTATATCATGTCTTTGGGTAGGTACCAACTCAGGTGGCGGCCTGTCAATCGACCAAGGAAGTTGATTATTTCGCTATTAGGTATATGACTTTGCTCTCACCCTCGATAAAGATGTAGGTTTTCGTCCAGCCAACGTCATAACAGCGCTCAGAACCTGACAAGTGACATACAAAGGCCGCGTTCATACTGTACGCTCCATGGGGAATACCCAAACTGACCTATCTTACCTGCCGATACTTACCATTTGCATTGGTCGTCACCGATATGTTTCGTATGTCCGAAAACATGACACTTGAAGCAAGTGGAATCTCACCTGTTTTCAGGAATTTTACAGCTTGGACTTTCCCTTAAGGTACATTGTTGTCCGTGCATGTCACTTTGAAAGCTCAATTCAAAATCGCAGTCCTGCACAACATTGTTTGCACTTAACTCATGTGAGTTGATCTCCTTGTGAATCGAATACCAATACTTCTGGAACTGTCGCCCCTACCAGATATCAGAGGAATCGTATTGTTTTGTGCAGAATGTTTGTATCCTTCACTATCCATTATTTCCATGGCTGACCTTGGTTCCAACATCCTGCAGCACTCTTTATGCGGAGAATTTGGGCGGTAACGGGTCGCAGATGGCTGATAACGTGTTGCAATGCTGTGGTAAGTCGGTCTTTCGGAAGTGAAATGTTTTGTAAATAGCCGAATGTATAGCTCTTCTTGGTCCCATTGGTGGTGACAGTTACATTATCCGACTCTTCTTCCTCAAGTGAGTCTCCTGCTGGTTGATTTGGTGGTTCACAACGATGTGGTTTAGTCATGCAGTCACCTCTTCCAAAAGTTGCAAGTTGCTACGACAGCAAGCAGAGTCGCATTATCATCGTAGCCTACGTTTTGCTCGTCATCGCAGAAATAGGTAAGTTTCACGGTATTTTTATGTTATTGCGTTAAATTTTTCATAGAAATCCTCAGTTTCATATTGTACCACTCGTGGAATTTTTATAGAGAACATGGAAACGATGCGCCTCTTGTACGGGTCCTTGTCAAACATAACGTGTTTTATTTTGCCTGTGGGCTTCGTGAGTCAAAACATCGTTCTTCACACATTGACACTAACATTTATGGTGGATCAGTATCTTCCACCACGGTTGTGGTCGTCGTGCTTACTCTTCCCGTGCGTGTTCATAATATTACGAATCCAACGTCTAATTCAAGATCTGATCGCAGGCGTCATACGGAGATGTAACATCAATGTAAGGGCTGTTTCTTGAACAGACCATATTGACTGACTGTCTCGTAGTTTACAGGTCGCGATACACGGAATACTAGCGACACGCATGCACCGCGAGCTGTACAACACAGCCCACCACACTGAAGAAACTTCCACCGGGAACTTGTCCCTTCCTCTTGTTTTTGCGCCAGCTTCGTTAGAGATGCAACCTGTCTAATGGTAGAGGTCCGTCTTTTCTTGAGTATCCTAGAGAATACTTGATCAATGATTTTTAGATAGAGAAATCGTATCTTCTCGGTTGGTAAGAGTAGATACTGCGAGTAATAATCTTTCCCACAACACACGAGCTCACTAAGCTGTTTGCATTAAACAAAAAACTACCCACTTTGCAAGTAATCTATCAGAACGTACAATCCATGGAGAATAATTCGGGCAAATTCGAAGAACGCAGCTTCATCAACGCAACCTCAAATAAAAGCGAAATGAAGATGAGGAAGCATACAATTGGCTTTGTATGACATTTTGAATGGTGACCTTCAACAAACAAAACCAGTATTAGCCTCTGAGCAGCACATATGGTCACACCGCTGGGTCGAACTGCTGGGTAGCCATTGATGCATCTGTTAAGCCCAGAAGTAGGCTCCAGACAACAAGGATACATCTATCTGATATCTGCTTTCGTCTGGATTCACTATTCACTGGGGCGGTGTTGAGAGCAAAAATTGAACGCTGGAAGGAGGCGAAGGAGGGAAGGAATCAATTACCTAGGATAGTGCACCATAAGGAGCTCGGATCCCTAGAAGCACTGTAGATGAATTAATGAAACATGTCAATTGAATTATAGGTATTGCTACACATTGATGCAAAATGAGACATGATGAAAACAAATAAACCCTCCTGGGCTTGCTGCAGCACTCACCATTCGTTACTCCCCTACATCCAACCCAGTACATTCCTTTTCTGCCTGCTCCAGTGGGTACATGTGACATGTCCCTGACAGAGAGACATTCAGGCGATGCTCTTGCCAGAGTCCTTGTAACATGGTAATATGCTAGAGCAGCTACCTGACCCCAAAAGACAATGCTACTCATGCAGTCATGTAGGATAGTCAGATTGGAGGGCCGGTGTGACAATCATACCAGTGCTAGGCGTATATGAGTGTCATAGGCATATTTTGCCTTGTCCAGAGGAAAAGAGTAAGGCGCTAGTCACCAGTGCTATTCAGCTCCCAAGCTATCCACTTTGGAACCACTTTTCTCCCATAGTGCACTACTCGGTCTGACACCTAGGTATTCTGTCCTCCCATGTCCTGCCTATGTCCACCTACCTCCGCTGGTGTGTTATTTTTCCTTAAATGTTGCTACTCATCAGTCACAGGTCTTATTACATGTGTCCTTGTGTTCTGCAGCGCTGCATGTTTTATTACCTGTCACTACATCATGCCCTTGCCAGTGTTGCTACTATACTCGCCTACACAATCCCAAACCCCTACACAGTATGATAAAATGACCTGTCCTACATACAGTACAGTACTTCCCTTCCCCAGATCTTTACTGGTGTAGGAGTCACTTTAGTTGCTATATCCTAGTTTTAGTGCAATTGATTCCGCTCTTGCCAAACTCTTTGATTGTGTGTCACTTGACTTGCTTCAGATGTCAGGATCGCTATTGGTAGTTGAGCTATAATCTAGTTGTTATTGGGCATTCCACTTGCACTGTCTTACCTTACTCCTCATTTTCGCTCCCTTTGATTTCTTCTCGCTGTCGCTAGTCAGACGTCGCATAGCGCTATTGCATAAAACAACTTGCATAGCACCTCTCACTTATATGCACATTTCTCTTGTCAGAACCTGCTAGTCAAATGAAGCTGATCGCTATAGTGCTACTCATCGTTCTTTTTTTTGGTCTTAGGTCACTATAGGTTATTAGTCCTTCATGCTATCGCTCCCCTTGCATATTAGTAGGGAGTTGCTTCATTAGCAGTCCTCTTGGGTCGAATACTACACTTGCACCTATTTGGATAAGTAGCGCTAGTTTCTAGCAAGCCTAGTCGCTATTTCTCTTTCACACTGGGATGCACCAACTGCATGATTAGATGCAATGGGATACATTCTGGAAGCTGTAGAAACAAGAGTTGGACACACAGATGCAGAGGCAAACAGCCTTGTGTCTTGGGCATCTATAGAAATGAGGTATGTTGATGCAGTAAAGAAGCATAAAACACACAATACATGCACCTATGCAACTTAGACCAAGACACAAGAGGTGTGTGTTTGCAAAATCCCGAACACAGAGCTCAACTTTAGATAAGCAAAAAAACCTTAATACATAGCCACATGAAGTTACAAGCCACACATTTTGAGTTCCTCGCCAGCGGTCTCAAATCATTGTAAAATCGTCTGGTGAGTACTGTAAAGGGGGTGTTTTTACTACTGTAGAATAGATCTAGATAGTTATTCTAATGAAATACAAGCATGTAGAGACAGTACCTGCTAAATGTCAGATCTTGGATGTGATTTTTGAGAACATGTGACTAATAATTAATATCGATATGATGCGTCAATATTGATTTGACACATCTCGTCAATGACTTGCATCTCTCTCTCCTTAAACCTCATTCATTATGTATTCTACAACTCATAAATCTACACATTATGACTCATGGTTTGCTTCTAGTAATAATGACAACAACACTGCATACATCATGGACTTTGAGGACGATTCCTATCAAATGATGCATTTTGGATCAAGTTGTCATTCACATTATTCTAATACATCATCTGGACATTCGCAGACACCAATTATAGACTTTCAAGTACCATCACACATGTGTTGAAGTCCAAATGATCTGAAGAGAAAGAGAGTGAGGAAGCTGAAGGATCCAACATGATAGGTACAAGTGGGAGAGAGAGGTCCGAGCGCATGAGCCAGACAGGCCAATAGGCTGCGCCCAAATGACATTGGCTTGTGCCCTGCAATATACATATGTCAGAAAACTTCACCTTTGCATTCCTTACTTACCTTGCTATAAAACCAAGTGCCCATCAGATGTGCACATATCAGTTCTAGTTGAAACTGAGATGTGAGTACTTGGGAACATGTATGTCAGCATTAGCTGACCAAAACCATAGCGTACCTTTGTGTTCTAGGTACTATGCATGTTAATATGAGTTCTAGTTGAAACTGAGATTGTACCTTTGTGTTCTAGCTCCCTCTCCCATTGTTCACTTGCCTGTTCTCACAACAGAAATCAGCAAGGAGAATGTGCCTCTGTTAGTTTCTTGTGGATCCAAATGTGCTGGAGCACAAGCTGGTCCATCCTGTCTATCAAAGAAGGCCTGAACAACCATTGGAACTACTGTTTCTGTACTCAGTGCTTGATTTCTTACTTTATGAACCTATTCCAGTCGCCTATGTACTTGTCTTCATCCATTATATCACTGCAGCTGTCTGTTTTGCTTTGTGATAGTTGAATTGATCCATTTTAACTTGTCATTTTGTGATGAACAACTACCTAATATAGCTAAATTACATGATCAGTCACACTGTCATCACACTGTCATGGTAGGTGTAGGGGGTACCCAAGTTATGACAGGTTAGTGTCTTGAACTACTTGATCCCACACCTCTTGCCAAGACACTTACAATCCTTCCAAAGTCCACCCCAACGCCATCAAGCTCCAGTAAAATGTCAAAGCTTGTTCCAATCACTACATTACTGTGAGAGTTCAAAGGCCATAAAGGATGCATAAGGGCAATCACAGTTTCTCTGGTAAATGATGGATGACCGATCATTACTAGCTTAAACAATAGGGCACTTTGTCTGTGGAACTTGAAGGCAGGCATTGTGTTGAAGAAGATGGAAGGCCATCCAGTCCTAGGATAAGTACTAGTAGGGTAGAGGAGTGAAAGTTTTGGAACAAAAAGCTGGATTTCATGATAGCGTTCACCACACTTGATCTCACACCTAAGTGACATCAAACATTATTATTAGTAATGATGTCAGGTACCTGACCTTGTTACTAAGTAGTAAGCCCTACACTACGGGGTCCGCAATATTTAAGACAGGTTTGAATGTCATGCAAAATGTTAAAATAATACTTAATATTTAGGTTGTTGTCTAGGTGCATGTAAAATTTCAAATGTTAAAGAGATCTTGCATGACAATAGAAATATAAAGTATCAGTGAACATTTTGTTACTGTCTGAACGTCAATGATAATAAGAAATATAAATATATCTTTAATGCTGGCCTATACTTTGAAATGAAACTTCACATTTAAGACTCAAAAAAACTTCAACAATTGCATGTGACTGAATGTCTGCTCATACACAAAATTCAGACCACTACTTAGATGGGTGTTTAAATTTAAAATACCTCCTGATGATAAAACATGAAGCTAAAACATCAAGTTTGTCTCCAGACAAAATTAATTGCCTGACAATCACCCACTCACCACCCACTCATGAGTAGATAATCTCCCATTTAAAGAAAACTCATATTCCACATTCTAACAGTACAGTATTTACATATTGTAAGGATGGAGCGTTTGATGCCACAAAATCAATTTGTGTTGACACCATGGTATAGTAATCATACAAGGTCATCTAATTGTCTGTGAAGGCTGAGAGGAAATCAGAGATGTACAACAAACAACAAAAAAGATAGCTTACCACTTGCTTTCATAGCGAGAAAATTAGAACATGCTGCATTGAGGTTCTTCTTGAATTTCTTTGTTGCCCCATTGAACTTGAGTCCATGTTTCCAATGCATGTTGTTCACTGGCCCATTATTGTCAGATGAATTGTAATGTCAAGAAACACCTTGATGAATGTTTTCAAGGTGTATCTGAAACCAGGCTTCACATCAAGCAGACCAGAACCCCACATCCAGTCCTGACCCAGCTCAGGCCTGAGGCCTTGGCCACCAAGACAATTTTTCAATGCATCTGTTATCTAATGATTCAAATATGAGCATGCTGTGGGTCAATATGAATAGGGAAACTTACTCGTGTACACATAATACATCCTGCAAATGAAATCAACCTCCTCTTCCAACCAATCATCATCAAAGTGAGTCTTGCCATTGAGAGACAACATTTGTCTGAATGGGACAGCATCCTGTGAAATGCCAATCAGGGCCGAGGGGAGGACATCAAAGCCAAGGCTATGTAACACTAGCTGCCATAAGATCCCGCTGTGAAGAAGAGTGGCTTGTGC